AAAATTCGATCATTTGTTTAATATGTCATTGATTTATGCCTTCAGTTACAATCTGTCCGAACGTGGACATAATCGTACGGCTAGAATGAGCCATTACCTAGTCTAATGATTTTTACTAAATATGGTTGCTATCAGCACTCAATTACAAATTCTTGTTTATTTCATCATCAGAAAGAAAAAGAGGGAATATTTGTGAAATTAATGAGAAAACATGCGATAAAATTGGCGAGAAAAAAGACAGGTGAAGTTAATGTAAACTAACTAGTTTCTGTAGTTTAAATACGAGTTTTCTTCCTAAGCAGATATTTCCCAATACAACTTTGAATAACCAATGATGACTTCATTTTTGAGTATTCTTTATACAAGAATAAAAAACAGTTAAAACACTAAGTGACCAACATATCTAATGATGAATTGTTGACTGTTAAGTGATTGGAGATAATAGACATGGAGCATTGAAATTAATGCGCAAAATGCATTTAAAGTTTCTAAGAAGATGATGTTCTGTGTAGGATTCACACCAATGTCACTAGTTTTAGCCGTAAACGATGCCACGTAGAATAAAAAAAGTGATTAGATTAGATTAGTTGTTATATTCCAACCAAATAAACAAAATCTAACAGGGACTGAAAAGTAGATATATAAGTGGTTGGTCACAACTTCAAGATCAACTGGTATAGTTTGTTGACTAAAGCGACGAAACTGTTTTATTTAAGGCCAGATGAATAGAGGGAGGACCAAAGTTTAGTGACAGGGTAATGAAACCTCACTAAAACATTTTTGTTTATCATTTGATTTCATTCACATAATAATATAAACGTTCCGTAGATCAATAAAGAGCGGTCTAAAAATGTACCAGTAACAGAATAGTAGTCAATGTATCTACAACTAAGCAAAAAATAATTATTTAAACACCAATTATTTGGCTTACTTAATGTGTTAAGTAAACGTTCTGCACACTTGACTTTATATTTCCCATACAACATAATGAGTTATTTATTAAGATTGACTAATACAGAGTTAGTTTAGATTGTTTTTCGACCAAAAATTTGGAACAAGTAACTGGATTGGTTATCTTGAAGAGTGAATTGACCTTGCATCAACCAGAATATAAAATACAAAAGCATCTGAATCTATTATTTCTCACCAAGACTACATGACATATTCAACATTCCACCGTGTTCATGATATTGCTCATTTTACATTTCATTAGGTTTGTTAGTTATTTTTTATTCATCGTTTGTGAATGATGAATAGTTACTTTCTGATCGATGTTCCCTAGTGTGAGAATTCAATCTTTTATTTTCAAACGAAGTTTTATATTTTTTCTTCAACGTCATCATAGAAATAAGAAATAGACTTAACCAAGGATTCGAAGTGCAGCAAAACAAATGTGTGCTAGTGTGGTGTGTGTTACTGATGTCGACAGATATAAGTAGCATGTGTCATCAATCGAACGTAAAATGCCTGGAAGCAGAAGGTTAAGAAGATCAAAGAACAGAGAACACGAACAAAGAATGATTGGTGTGGAAACAAAAAAAACAATGGAGTCTGAGACGATTGACTGATATTTGCAAAAGCAACAGTCAAATTTGAGACAATTGATTGACATTTTGCAAATTAAGTATTTACTGTATAGTTCTCAGATTTTACTAAAACATTCTGTAATTTGTATTCAAACCACTCAATTGTCCCCGCTTGTATTCCCGTTCACCACAGTTGGTATAGCCTATTCATACTGAACAACTGTAAAAAGAAATCAAACCTAGCCAAAACCAATGCGAAATGTCAAAAATGTGTAATAAGAGGCGAAAACGGTAAATAGTTTCATAAAATCGAAAAGTTACAAATGTTTAATTTATCGCTATGTTTATAACTTTTAATTACTTTGTGTGAGGGCTTCGTTAAAGGCTAAAGATGATTTCGTTTGAAGGTGGCACAAATGTATTATATCCCATCAAGTCTTGAAAACACCTCTCTATATTTTTCACGGTTTGTAGTACGATAATTCAGGTTTTTATACCCTTTGTTGTATACGAACAGGTTACTTAACAGAAATGATCAGTTTCAGTCTTAGAGTTGAAAAATATACACAAATATAAGACATCTCATCTAGAATAATAACCAGTATTTTTTTAGAATCGTAAACAGTTATCTATAGTCGAATTACTAACGAGACAACAACTAAGTACATTTACTTGATAAGTTACATGTGTTATGACCAATACTAAAAAAAGTTAACAATTTTGTCTATAAACCACTACTGCCTTTTGAAAATACTATCTATTTCCTATAATTTCAGATATTCGCTTAAACGAACCGTATTTTGTTGAACAATATTACTATTCAGTAACTTACGTGACATGTCATTCCTTGTATGTATGAGCAATGTATAAGGATGATCATGTATCATTATTTAGGAATTGAATGATCGTTGATTAGTGTATCCACCTTTTTTAACTATATATCATGTTTATTCATTATATCTTTAAAATTACGTATCATATTTAGAGTCAGGTACTGAATAAATAGTGAAAGAAAATTCATAACAGAATACGATATTTAAAAATACTTTGTGATCCAAGTTACCATAAAAACACCTAAACAATGTGAGCATGTAATTACTGGACTATTGCTCGATTTATCACTTTCAAAACACGGGAAGAGAGAAATGAAATAATGGTGTATGATACAATATTACTTATAAATTAAGATTTTAAATCGAAGAGTATCAAAAGCTATCTAAAACTAAGAAAGGCGATAGAGTTTTTGGAGGTTAATTTAACATTCGTAAGTAATGTGGACATTTATTGGGTGCCTAAACTTTGTTATTGCATCTATCAATTAATAAAGCACCAAGTTAGAATCCGAACAGTTTACTTTCTTTACCAGTTTAAATGATCTTGTTATTCTGTCATCCTGTAGATACTCATGGTAATACTGAGTTACTAGTTAAGTCAGCTAATTAGATCTACGTTAAAAGTATTTCACAGAAAAAAAAATTATTAATAAGAATTAGACCATTAAGTAATTTATTGATCTGTAAGAGCTGTTTATTTAAATTTACTTTGCACACACGGATAAATAGTACTCGTAATCTTATCATTTCTATAAAGTTGAACTCTTTATTAAGATGTTAGAACAAGATCAATAGAAAAAAGTATTTCTTTTCAGTTAGTTTTCTATTCTGGATTTATATTAACAATAATGGTAAAGTCGATAACAATGAAGTGGGAATATGTTAGATAATTTATGAAAATAATAGGGAATAATTAACGAAGTAATTAAAACACGAATGTGAATGTTATAATTTTAAACGTCAAAAATATTAATAAACGAATGAATTAGAACACTTAGTTACATAATAATTCAGAAATAGAAAATTGATGATAATTTAGTGAGATATCTATCTAAAAGACGAATTGAAATTGAGTATTTGTTTGCTTTGTTCATCCTTTTATTATTCTAATTACTTTCGTTTTAGATGGTTATTCAATTTTTTTTCTAGAATTTTCCATAAAAAATAATTTAAATCTTTTCCTACAAGATTAAGCTTGCTTAAACTATCACATTTAATAAAAATTATTTGTAATTAATGTGAGTGAATGAATGCAAAGATGTAATTGCAGTTGACATATAGTATATCAGTAAATAAGAAAACAAATTAATCATACAGAATTTTATTATATATATATATTCTTTTGTTTCAAAGTAACACATTGTATGCTTGTATATTTTCTCTATTTTTGTATATCAAGAAAAATAGGATATTGGACAGGTTTTATCAATAGATTAGGAAAATTTTATTAACTCGAATCATTGATTTGTGAACTAAATCTTAATATACTAAGAATAAGATGTTTTCCAGATATCTCAAAATTACCAATCAGATCAGGACACTATAGAAATTCTTTCTCAAGGATTTTATAGATACAACTTGGCAGTAATCAGTGCTAACACGTAGAATATCCTAATGAAAACCCTTCAGTCCATCTTCATTTCTTTGTTTTTAAATTGTAAGTGATTTTAAGTGAAGGGTTTAACAGATTTATACTAAAAAATAATCTTTTGAAGACATTTTTAAGGTAAGTTTAATGAATATCAGTATAGTATATGATAGAAACGATAAGTAAATGGACGAAACAAAGACAAAATTTTGAATGGAAACATCTCAGAAAAGCTAATATTCTAGAAATATAGACCTAAAGGTAGAAACAGAAGTGAGATGTGAAAATGCTCGTGAAGAGTTCAGTAAAGAACAATTATCGAAACTAAATTGTACACTTATTCTTATAATTATCGAACTCTACCTGATAAGGGTGAAGACGGATGCATGTAGATCTGCTAAGGTGGGTGAAAAAGTTTTGAGCACAATTCTTTATGGATAGGTAGGTAAAATGAAGGGATAATGAAGGAGTCTATAACAGACAATTGAGATTGAGGTTACCCAAATAAGACGTACAAAATGATTTATTGTACGGTGATTTACATATACGTCTACTGCATACAAAGGTCGTCATATAAATCTCTCTTAACGAATCGAATATTTTCATTCAGAGTGTTTTCATTTTCTTCGTCACTGATGTAACTCAACCCTCCGTTTAACATTTTATCAAAAAGGCCAATGTGATTTGTAACTGATCTTATTTTGTCAACATGAATTTTCTATTTATTTATGCAGCCTGTTCCTATGATAAATTTGCACAAAAGTCTATTCTTAATCAAAATTTACTCGTTATGTAATTACTATTAGTATTCATCTATTTAAACAAATGGCTTAATAAGCAATATATTGCGAAACAAACAGTTTTCAAATTGCTTCAAGGAACAAAACCTTTAAATTATTACTTGAACAGATACATCGAATTTCATAACATCAACTATATATTGAATAACTAATAACATATAAAGGTTATTTATTACACTGACATTTGTAAAGTAATATATTGGTAATAATAGAGTGAAGAATTTAATACTAAAAAAAACTGTTTCATACATACCAATGGTAGAATCGAAATCTTGGACGCCAACTGGGCTCTTTCAAGAATCCATTAAGCATTGAAGCCAAATTTACAAAACCATAACACATCAAGAAGAACCTGAAGAAAAGAAAAGTAGACATAAAACAACAGATTGTCAAGATCACAATAATAATAATTTCTATTGACTATTAAATTGATCGCAAAAACAAAAACAAAACAGATTCAGATAGATAAATGTTATTAATTGACTAAGAAATTTGAACAATCTTCGGTCAAATTTATGTACAATATTGAACGATCATTAATTATATGTTTATGGAAATAAATTATTGAATATTGGATAACAAAAAGCAGCTATACGTATATATAATCAGCGAAATAAAGAATATTATGTGGGAGAAAAGGAAGTTAATTGTAAATTTATTCGAAACAGTTAGTCACTTTGATAAATTTAGACAATTAAGTGAAACGACGAAGTTTATCAAAACTATGTGACATATTAGCACAATATACTTTGAACAATTAGATAATTAGATAATAGATTTACTTATAACAGGATTTATATATGATATGATAAATGTCAATTGGACAAATTCAAGAATAAGAAAAGCGGATATTAGTAGAAAAAAGAACAATACAATCTTGGATACTAAATTGATAATACCTTAATGGGTTTAGATTAAATACAAATTGCTTTTGGATAGGAAAAAGAAGGATTTTAACTTTCGTTTGGTTACGACTTCAACAAACCAAAATATTGTGTGCAAAACCTCAAGGTCTAATTTAGGGTTAATTTTATGAAGTTCACATACTTGAGCACCGTTTGTGTCTTCAAAAACGATTTGTACTTACAGTAAATTAAATTTGGTAGTATTGATTTGTTGTACAGAGTGATACGATTCATATTGTTTGTCGACTATTGTCATCATTTTTCTTATATTCCAATATGTCTACGTTGACATTAATTTTTCATAATTGACTTTCATAATAAGTAAAAGGGTAGTTAGGTTGTTTTAAACGTACTATACTAATATATAACATGGTCTTGAAAAACTTTGAATTCTGCTTGCGTTAATATACATTAGTTTGAGTGAAAACATGCATTCGCAAACTGAAGTTTGTGACCATAACATAAGAATACACTTTTTATGTGTACAGTTTTTAACTGTAGATAACCGTTGTCTACGTGTTCATAAAGATGTGAGTGTTAAATGTGCGGCTGCTAGGAAACATCCGTTCAATTCAAAGTTTACCATCCATAATGATTTATTTGAATATGTAAAGTGGTAACATGTTCAATAGGTCTATGTTGTATAAATATACAGATAAATCTTGGAAATGCTATTGGCGAGTGTCCTATAGAACTTTTGAGTATCCAACGAAAAAAACAATAAATTGTGAGACTAAATATAACAAATAAAAATTGGGGGTTAAGTCAAAAATAAAGTTTATTTCACAAGTGATTAAGTTAATTATGACTAAAACGATTGGATGTTCTAGCAAACCTTTATTTGAATTATTAAAGGAATTATTGTTTGAACTAATTAAACATGAATGAAACGTTATTCACTGAAGGTTGTTTTATCTTTTTACGAGAATAAAATGTATAGAATTATTTGTAGCTTATCACAGCTATCTGGTGCACACAACTTATGCATTGTATCTTGTTGAATCATTCAGTATAGGAGTTAACCTTTGACATCCGACTCTAAAGTATGTTCATATTTAAAGTAAATAAATAGATAACATAAGTAATTTAATAATGCCTAACGGTATTAATACCAAGAGACTGGTAAAGACGGAATGCATTTAAAACTTAATAATGTCAATGAAAAGAGGTTGAGAGTGATATGGGCTTTGAACATCACTAACCTCATTAAATATAACATGGACACAACCAAACACTAGAAAACTGTAAAATCAACGAACCAGCAAGAAAACTACTCCATGAAGATATATTTAATTTGGAATGAATATAAGCTAGAGAACTGTCGAAAACCAAGTTCAAATGGACATTTATTTCATTCTAAGTCAGAAATATTTTTCAACGCACAACTACATCTATGAATAAGATAATCTGAACATGGTAGTAATTTTCAACCGAGTGGAAAAAAAAACAAAAATGATTAAAACACACGCAAACACACACACATGGCATCATCAAATTATTGAAGATGTTTATCAGCTAAAGTGATTTGTTTACTCAGTGGACTACATTGTTAGAAAAATAAACGTAATTTGATTTGACAGTAATGTTTAATATAATAATAAAAGACGTTTAAAATACATGATCAATGTTATTATAGAAAGTTAATTTAATGATTGTTTTTTTGATTAAAATACTAGTTAATGGATGAATAAGAAGAATCATAACAACAAATTAGTTTTATTACAAATGGTAAGCACAAGATGTATTAAATCGGTTTTGATAAGTAAGAAATTCAATAGTATTTTTAAGGAAAATGGAAAATCTAATTGTTGAAATCGCTGATCGTTAGGGAATATAAAAAATGATCCTCAAATGTAGACAAGAAGAACAAAGAAATCATCAATAATGTACGCTTTTTGAGACGGTTTTATGAATAAAGAGGTTTGTGGAGATTATAGAGTGTTATTGATATCACTAACCAGGATGAGTTGTGCATCCATCTCTGAAGAATAGAATACATGTACGAAACAACGATCCAATGTTTTATAGTTTTCAATGGATGTCTAACTCAAGTCAGTTTTTAAAATCAACCACATTTTGTTTTCAGTTAGAATCTTATGTGACAGGAAGTAAGTGATAAACTAGTTTGAAGAAATGTTACACATTATTCTAACTAGATAGTAATAAAGACAAATTTTATGATGTCAACGTAAGTAGCATGATTTTAAGAAATGAAATATTTCATACACAATCTACGGATAATAATCTACACAAATTATGACAACGATTAGTACAGACAAATATTAACGATAAAGACTGAGCGAATGAACTTCACATCCCCTGACGAGAATGGTACCTCAAAGACACCAAAACTAATGGTTAGAAAGTATTTAAAAAATTGTAAACTTACTGTTACAAAACCGTTTTAGGTGATAATTTATTTTATGAAGTGTTAACCATATGAAAATAACTTTAGTATTACGAAAAAATCGAAAAAAATGGGTTCAGGATTTTGTTATGTAGTCTTCTCTCTTCAAATCAAACGAATGACTATGATACAGTAGATTTAAAGACTGACATCACATTTCAGTATCAATCAGTTTATCAACAAAAGGTGTTTGTAAATGAATAGTCTTATAATGATGAGAAACATGAAATTTCCTAAAAAATATCGTTATAACTAGAGCCTATGAATTGTTCATCAGATCGGTCAACATGTGATTTTCTGAAAACATTGTTATAATTACATACTATGAATTGTTTATCAGAAACTATATTATTTAAAAGCTTTTAACAACAAATAGACTAATTAATTCAATGCTTTAACTTTTTTCATTGCCTATATGCAAATAAGCTTATTTGTTATTGTCTAATGAGTCCTCTATCCATCTCTCTGCCTGTTTCATCTCTTTGTTGATCTTGTTTATTTATATATACGTATGATGTAAACAATCCGATTTTCAGAATTTAACATTTATACAATCAGAAAAATATGATTAAAATGGAGAATCATTTCTTTCTTAACATGTTTTTCGTCACAGGACTTTATTATGTGATTAAAAAGTAATAACAAATCGATGCCCTTTGAGAAATTTCATACATATAGTTCCCTTTATTATTGTAAAGAGAGCAAGAACAAAGGTTAGTGCAGAATAATATGAATTCATTTTATTTCGTTAGGTTCTCATCAGCTGCCTACAACCTAAAATATTTGAAATTCAAAGTTATTATAGATATTGACATACTTATACAACAGAGGGCGATGAAGGATGAATATATGTAACATAATGTAGCAAAGATTTCGTTAGAGTTAGTCAGGTCATAAAATTTTGTTTCGAATATATAGAGTTTGGGAGGGAAAGTTCCAGAAAATTGAGATAGTGATTAGAAATCATGGAATTAAAACACATTAGACGATTATGTAATGAATTAACTGAAAATAGATTAATGTTAATAAAGAGAGATATGAATTGAAATTGGTCAGTTATGAATGATGTAATAAAATTCAGAAAGAGTTAGAATGACGTAATAAAAATAAGTAAAAATAAAAAGGGATGGGGTGAATATTATCAGGACAAAGAAAGATTTACTACTGTTTCTTTTGCATACAAAGATTTGGTTTAAAACGTTTGATTGCTATTGCCTCGGCGAATTTCAAAAGGTTTGAATTTGATTGTTTGTTGATCGCCTTGAAGGACTTCAGTATATCGACTTCGTGTCCTGTGTCAAGGAGATGTCTTGCGACAGCAGTAGCAATCAAACGTTTAAAACCAGATCTTTGTATACAAAAGAAACAGTAATAAATCTTTCTTTGCCCTGATAATATTCACCCCATCCCCTTTTATTTTTACTTATTTTCATTACGTCATTCTAACTCTTTCTGAATTTTATTACATCATTCATAACTGACCAATTTCAATTCATATCTCTCTTTATTAACATTAATCTATTTTCAGTTAATTCATTACATAATCGTCTAATGTGTTTTAATTCCATGATTTCTAATCACTATCTCAATTTTCTGGAACTTTCCCTCCCAAACTCTATATATTCGAAACAAAATTTTATGACCTGACTAACTCTAACGAAATCTTTGCTACATTATGTTACATATATTCATCCTTCATCGCCCTCTGTTGTATAAGTATGTCAATATCTATAATAACTTTGAATTTCAAATATTTTAGGTTGTAGGCAGCTGATGAGAACCTAACGAAATAAAATGAATTCATATTATTCTGCACTAACCTTTGTTCTTGCTCTCTTTAAAATCGATCCCAATCAAGTGATAGGGTCGTATCTGGCAGAAACAAAATCCAGTATTTCTCAAATATTCCGTTGTTACTACATAAAGCTTAGACGAAATTGAACTTTCAAAACCAGATTGTGATTTGTAAAATATTTAATCAAAGCTACTTAAATCTACGTAAGCGATGAATATACCAAATTAAAACAACAGCTGAATACT